TGGTTAAGTAAACGTGCAAAAACCATTGCTTGTATTTAAAGTGCATAAAGAGTTGAATTAATATTTTTTTTGTTGTTTCAACAGCTTATTTTTTTCAGTGTAAGATAAGTTGTAATTTTACAATCTATATGTATAAATCATACACGCATTGTAATTTTACTACACAGTTTGACAGTTTCTAATAAAAAGCATCTCATATTTACAAACGTTGTTTGTAATTTGATTTGCTATAATGTTATGTAAAACGCATAGTATGTACCGATTGCGGCAATTACATCTCACCTCGGTTGACTTAGGTGGACAGTATATAAGCTCAGGTGTCTTTCGTTAAAACTTCCTAAACATGTTTAGTAAAATTACAATAGAAATTTTTACAGTGTCTCACCGAAAATAAAAAAACATAACAATTATACTTTTAAATTTTATTATCATCAATTTTCCAAACTTAATTAAACGAATCAATCATTGTTAATCTTCGACCGAAAGCTACATTTCGGTCGAAAAACTTGTTAACAATTGTTTCATTGTCTTTTAGTGCGCGAATAATTTATATTCCCACTCAATGGTCCCGACCCGTTTCAATTTAACTTTGCAAGTAACTCAGCTTGCAATGTGACAGCCACCTCTTTATTTTAGCCAGTGCTTAACTGTGCTTTCACGATCAATACTGGAGAAAAAAAAATTTAAATGTTTTTATATACTCTAAGTTTTCCTAATTTAATTAAATTATATCAAAGGATGTTTCTCTTATGTCAAAAATGGTAACAAATGAAAGTAGATCCTCTTTCCACGTTATTTAGGTAAAGGTATTATGCGAAACACAATAACTAGACAATAGAATATAATCCGCCAGAAAAAGGGCAATATGTTAGGAAAATTGCCATTACATTGAATATATTACTCGGGCGTATTGTGTGATATAGTAAATCCCAAAGATTATAGCCATTTAACGTCAAAATCCTTTTTATACATATTTTGTGTCGCGTGGTAGCTGTCACATGCGATTAGGATTAATTGTGATCGAATTTGTTTGTTGAAAAAAAAAGATATCAAATTATTGTTAGCTTATCTCCGCCAGGTGCTATGTGTTTTGGATAACAATGAAGTAATGATTTTGAGATGGTGAACTAAAGTATAGGACGAACAAAAATGCCAACCAAAACTGATAGCATAATATGATTATAGACTCTTTTGGTAACACAAAAATGTATTTATCAAAATCCCAGCTGATTCTTTATTAAAGTTTTGCAAATATCTTAGTATTTTAAAATTGTTTATGCCATTTCGATAAAATACTCTAGTACCATTATCAAATGTTTTTAAAAATTTGGCAGATACAATATGGATAAATTACATTATAAATACAAAATAATGTAAAATTCAGTTTGCAATATCTTATTTATTGTTTTAAAAAACTAATAAATAACTAAAGATTCTTTGAAGCAAAATCGATTACTACTTGCCTTAAATTTTCAGTAAAACTTTTTCTTGGGTTTCACATGGAATTGTTTTTAACATGGAAACAGTATTTTTAAATTCTTCAGTCTCTGTACAAACATGCTTCTTACATCTAGCGATATCCCCTAGAAAGGAAGAGCGTATCAAAACTTTAGTTCGTTCGTCAGTCCTCTTCCCTTAATAATTTTTTATGCCCTTTATATCTTGCCATTTTGCAGATAAAGCACATACATTCTTGGCTGCGCGAAATTCTCTAGCAATTTCTAAATTTTGAAAATTTGGCAATTTTGGCTATGGAAAAATACCGTTTTTACCATATTGAAGTAGGTAATTTTGAATCAGTTAAGTTAAAGTGTTCGTTTGAAAAAGTCTGCAGTAATTTTTATATTTTCTCAGAAACCCTTTTCGATTACCAAAAACAATTTTGTCTCCACAGCCACCTTCTTTCGATCTTCATGGCTTAACTTGAATTTCGGTTTAATTTTCATTTTAAAATACTATTTTTAACTTTATAAAGTATACATTAAATAAACAACTAAAGCAAAATGTCACTTGCTTTATAACGTATAGCAATTTTTTCATAACCATGGTTTAGGTGCACCTAAATTATTGTTTTACAAAATTTGCAAGTTGTAATTATTTCATAGACAAACTTCCAGTTTTTTTGTTATAAAAATATTTAAGATATAAATCTTCGTTTTTTTTGTTATGTTTTGTTTTGAGTGGTAAAAAATAATAGGTGACTCAATAAATTAATACTGGGGAGTAAAGTAATTTAAATGATACAAAGTTTATTATTTTGCTTAATTTTATTAAAATTGTACAGGTAGTTTTAGTACAATAATTGCAAAATAATATATAGAAATAGAAAAACAAAAAAGTTTGCAAAACTTTAAAATAGGATTAGCTGGGATTTTGATAAGTACATGTTAGTGTTACCAAAAGGGTCTATAGTCAAAATATCAGTTTTGGTTGGCATTTTTGTTCGTCCTATACTTAAGTTTTGACCACCGTGCATATTATTCAAACAACGATAATATACAATAATCCCCTTTGTATACTTCTACAGCAATAGATCTTCATTTGCAGACTTTTGACAAACAAATTACATTGTTTTCCGTCCTGTTATAACGTCGTACGTTCAAACCCTTGTAAAAAAGCACCCTTATTTTCTACGACTAACTCCACCCCTGCCCTGTGATCATGCTGACCGGGCCAATGCCGAGCCTACTTGTGAAGGGTTGCGCCCTCATAACAGTATCAATTATTTTTAAACACTACCGTTATGTGCGTATTCAGCGTATTTAATTGCATTACCATTGTAGTTGGATGATATTTATGAATGTATAATGAAACGACACAAAAGGTCTACATTGAATGCCAACCGCATCTTTTTACCTACAGTTGCTACATGTTTTATTGATATGAGAATATCATCCCTTAAATGAAGTCAGCGTACCTGAAATTTTATTAAATATTACGTTTGACGTATGTATGGGCAAGAATAATGACGTTAAGTCTTTCATGAGTTTTTGGGAGGAAGGGGACTGTCTAGGCAGTTTATGTAATATTAAAAAATGTTTTATATACAACGTTTAAATGCAAATGATTTGATGATTGACCTAATATTGTCATATTGATTTAAAAACCAAGTGAAAGCCTAACAAGCTCTTAGTAAATTTTTGTTTAGTTATGTCAGAATATTTTTTTTTAATTTTGAAACTTGTGAAACACACATTTTCGCATGTCCCATTAGCGTTTTATAAAACTTACATACATGTTTTTTTTTTAATATTGAATAACCAGAACTTTGTGTTAATGCAGTAAACAATTTATATATAAAATAATTAATTTTAATCAACTTTTTTTAAAATTGACTCAGACATTTTTTCCGTTGCGTTAAGTCCGTCGCGTTACCGATAGAATATTAAAAAAAACATATATAAGGCAACTTTTTTGGTACTCACGTGATCAACAAATGATGTTCGAACGTACGCATTACCCAGCTGAATTTATTTATTCAATCAGGAAGAAGATATCGGTTGAAACAGGTGCGGGTAACGCGAATGTAATAATTGTTTGTCCGCTAAGTTACTCAAAAAAATAATAAAAATAAGGTAAGAAAAAATACTATTGAGAGTAATTCATGACTGTAATGTTTTATTATTATTTTTTAAATATGGTTTCACAAAACTTTGTCCACTGCGTTACCGAGTCCATTACGTTACCTTATGGTAACGCAATAGAATTTTTCGACAACAAAGTGGATATTTACCGTCGCTTTTATTAAAAGTATTTTATGATAAACCAATTTAAAATTATTTGTGATTACAACTCATGATATAGATTACATCCAAGGGAAAATTCCACGCAATATACAAGTACTATAAGACACCAGCTTATAGTCAAAGAAAACGGGTGTTTATAATTTATAAATCTTATTTGTTATTCTACAAGTGATTTTGTTTATGCATTACTCTAAAATCGTACCACCCTATATAGTTTCTTTTTTACATTATCTGATTAAGTCCTTTGTGTACCCCAGTCCGTTGTGATACCAATGTCTATTTCGTTACTATTTTTAGTTTTTATTAAAAAAAATCCTTAAAATGATTTTACTATCACTTGGTAATACCTGTTTATAAATTAGAGTTTAACTCACTAATATAGTGACTCTGATTAAGTCCTTTGTGTACCCCAGTCCGTTGTGATACCAATGTCTATTTCGTTACTTTTTTTAGGTTTTATTAAAAAAAATCCTTAAAATGATTTTACTATCACTTGGTAATACCTGTTTATAAATTAGAGTTTAACTCACTAATACAGTGACTAAAAGAAAATATTAATGGTATTGTTTTTTTAACAAAGAATCGGAATGGTGTCTTTTAAAAAGTAAATTAACTAACATATATATTTAAAAAAGGCATAAAATTTTTAATAAAAAATAAAATTGGAGTCAAAAGTTTGTGAACTAAGTATCTACATTTTATTTCAAATTATTTTTATAACAACTTTTTTTATTAAATTAAATTTTGGATTTCAAATTGGTAACACAGTGGAGACATGTATAAGACTAGCTAAACACATTTTTCTAAAAAAAACCTAAAAAAAATTAAAAAGTGCACTGCCTGTCTTAAATGTAAGTAAGCAAAACTCTAAACATTTATAAAAATCCAACCAAAAGTCAATTTAAGCAAAAAAAAATTTGATCTTCAATTTCCTGAAAGCGGGTGTTTCTTGAAAATGACCCAGGTAGATAGGTATTTGAAAAATTGTAAAAAAGTTATGTAATAAAGACCAATATAATATTTTTCAGGTTAAGCAATAAATTTTCAAATATTGTCTATTCTTTTTTAAACTTTTGCTCGACTTCTTTAAAGTTTTTTTTAATTAAAAGGGTATTAAATTATTCTTGAAAATAAAATACAAACTGTATAATTTATATAAATAATTTATTTCTAGGTTTTGGCTTGGCATCTTAAAATATACAATCTTATTTACAATAAAATAAATTAGTCTTTAACATTTCGATTAACTATGTTCTAGTGATGATACAGATGATGATGGTTATCATCGACGTTCATCACATCAATATCCTCATCGCACGTCGAGGATTCCTGAGATTTCTTCGAGCACAAACACTTGAGATGCTGGGAGGGGGAGGGGGGGTCTTTTTTCTGCTTGACGCGTCTGTTTTGAAACCAGATTTTCACTTGTTTTTCCGATAAACCTAGGCATGTCGCGATTTCGATTCTCCTCAGCCTTGAGAGGTACATGTTTGAGGCGAATTCCCGCTCTAACTGTAGAAGTTGGGTGCTGGTGAAAGCGGTTCTGATTCGTTTTGTAGAGTTGTCTTTGCTTGGTGATGACTCTGAAGAACGACTACTCAAAGGTGGTGTTGGTGTGGATTCACGGCTTTCTTGTTGAGCTGTTGGAGAGGCTAAAGGTGTGCTGTACATTGGTGATATGTGCCCTTGTTGTGGTAGAGTCTCCAACTTGATTTGCGGGCTGGGTAGCTTCGCTAGACTTGGTACTGGTCTCACCAACGTCTTGGGATGGTGAAAAGGCACCATCCCCAACTGTTGCAAATGCTGTTGTTGCTGCTGTCTGGCCAAACTCAGAGAAAACAGGTAACTGCTGATGTAATTAGGCGGATACGGCAACCTTGCCTCACTATTCGGCTGCAAGTACTCCTTTTTGTTGTTGGCTAATATAGACTCGACGAAAAACGATCTGGACATATCCATTTTTTCGTTTTGCACTCACTAAATACAACTGAACTGTTTGATGGCTTGAAAGTTTACTGACTTAATTCGACTAGGGGTTTGCAATTTATACATTAATCCCCTCTATGGTTAGTGCAAGGAGGGTGCATGTGCCACCCCGTGGGTCGTTTTCTTTTGTCATGGGCTCCGCCCATCCATACCTACCCTCTCAAGTCGCCAATGGTATTGATATCTTACCTTTTTATAATTTGCTACCCTTCAACAGGCAAACTAAAAATTTAATCATATATTATATAATAATAATAATAATAATAATAATAATAATAATGTCTTTATTAATTACGTATACAAAATACAATAATTAAAAGGCGAAGTCTATGAATTTAATCGGTTAAACTAAGCACGGTGCTGTTCTGAGAGGTGATTTTTGGACTTTCTGTAAAACCTAATTTTTTTTATATTCTTGTAAATTAGGTCATAATTAAAATTTTAAGAGCAAAATAAAAAATTGACGGTTTGAATTGTTTTAATTGGCTGGTTATTAAAAATATTATACACTCTTTTAATTATCCAATTAAAACTAGCGATTTAATTTAAATATTTAATATTTGCATAACTAAAAAAAGGTTTTTAAATTTTTTTTTATATATTTTACTGTTTTGTTGCAATAAACGTTCAAACTTTTAATCTAACCTTTGACGTATACATGTATGTTCCCTTAATTAATATATCCCTAAAGGTTGCCATGAAACTTAGATCTATTAAAAATTTATTTGATGTTTGAATTGTCATTTTCAGTATACGTATTCTATAATTTTTGTTTAGTTTTTTAAAGTGTTTTTTATAAACAAAAATGAAAAATTGTAGTAAAAGTTACGAAGAAATTCATGAAATTTAACTAAGGACCAGTTTATTCATCTTAAGTAAAGTTTATCGGGCCGATAACTTTCATGTCTTGGCAATATCTAGTATCCAAAGAAATTATTCGTCAAATAAACCAAAAATAAATAAATCGGCCCTAAATAAAATGTGGCACCCTTAGAATTATTGTTTAATAAATGTATACTATACATTTAACCTTAAATTAAAACTTTAAACGTGTATTACAACAAAACAGTAAAAGATATAAAAAATGTATAGACCATTTTTTAGGAAATTAACTAATCTTTATTCTGATTTAAAAAGTTATGAAAATATTTAAATAAAATCGCAAGTTTTAATTGGAGAATTGAAAGTGTGCATACATATTTTTAATAAACATCCAATTCAAACAAAATTAACCGTCAAATTTTTTTTATTTTGCTCTTAAAATTTTAGTTATGACCTAATTAACAAGAATATAAAAAAAAATAGGTTTCACAGAAAGTCCAAAAATTACCTCTCAGATCAGCACCGTGTAGGCTCAGTAGTTTTTTGTTTGGTTTTTGTTGGAAAATGTTGAATGCAAAATAATTTAATAAAATCACGAGACCGCGTAACGGTCGAGGGGTTTTATTTTTAATTATTTTGCATGAAACTATTTTCCAAAAAGAATCATCAAATAAAAAACTTACTGAGCATAGTTTGACAGATTAAATTTATAGGTTGAGTGATATACGTCTAGATTATTTCTCGAATGAAAGGAAACTATTTGACAATTCATAAAATCCGACGTATGTGTCAAAATTTATAAACATTTTTTTAAAGAAAATTCCATTAATTTAAGGTATGTAATAAGTAATAATTGATATTTCGTAAACTTTCGTAACTTATTTTTTATTGTTTTTTAAAAAATGTTTGTTAAAACTTGTAAATAACACCATAAAATCGTAAACAAAAATCCAATATGGAGGCTAAAATTTAATCGCTGTTAAATAGTTCTAGTGATTTAATCGCTTATTTAAACGAAATTTATTCGAAAATTCAAGGCTTTTGATTGGTTCATATTACGAGCCCTAACCACATAATGTTCGGACACTTCATAATTTATACAGAAATTTTTTTCGTGAATACTATCTCAAAATTATTAGAAGTTATGAAAAATTCAGCTTATTTTGGCATATACTCCTCGAAGCGATTTTTATTTTTAAAAAGTTTACCTTTTATTTTTAGCTTTTAAAAAAAGGCTAACTTTTTAACTTTTTTTTGTATGAGTAAAAAAAGTTATAAATGGACCCATTAAAAAGAGCATAAAATATTATACAAACCCTGAAAATTTGGTAAAAAATAAATAAGTTATAAAAAAGTATAAGTAATTTAAAAATGCTATTTTTAAAGAGTTTTTGCAATTTTCTTAGGAAACGGGAGATTTTGCAGATATATATATCGCTATAACTTTCTTATTATTTATACAATTTTTACCAAATTTTCAGGGTTTGTATAATATTTTATGTTCTTTTTAATGGGCCCATTTATAACTTTTTTTACTCATGCAAAAAAAAGTTAAAAAGTTAGCCTTTTTTTAAAAGCTAAAAATAAAAGGTAAACTTTTTAAAAATAAAAATCGCTTCGAGGGTTATATGCCAAAATAAGCTGAATTTTTCATAACTTCTAATAATTTTGAGATAGTATTCACGAAAAAAATTTCTGTATAAATTATGAAGTGTCCGAACATTATGTGGTTAGGGCTCGTATAATGAGGGAAATAATCTTGTTAAAAATATAAAAATGTTTAATAACAGTAAGGGCGTTTTAGAATTTATAGGGTTTTATAAATACTGTATTATTGTTTTGGTAAATGTCGAAGAAAATAACTTTTTTATTAGTAAAAAGTAGTTGACAGTTCTTGGTAAAATAAAAATGCTCAGCTTGCCAAAATGTCGAATATTTTTAAATTTTATTATTTTTAAGACAAAAATTTCATATAAAAATTGTGGATGTAAAACACACAAACTTATAAATTTATTTAAGTGCTCACGTTTATAATGCAATTTAAATATTTTTTGAAGAGGTATTTTTAGGGCGTCAATAAAGTAAAGTTGGGAAAACTGTACAACACTTTATTTTTATAACGCAGTGTTTATATTTTATGTCACGAAGCTATCAAATTATATTAAAAGTTCACTACAAATAAAAGGTTTTATTGTTTAATAAAAATGTATTAAAATATGCTTTCCAGGTATAATATTTTAATATTTTTGTCATAAATTTATTATTTCTCGATTTAAAATAATACCTACTTAATGTTAAATTTTAAGAAAGACTTTAAATGAAATAATCTTATTCGATTAGACCAAATTTTGGAAAATTCTCTCTATTCTGTTCTTAAAGATATAAAACCATACTGGATATCAATATAATTATATTTATTTCCAAATTAGTAAATACACAGTAAAAAATTTTGCCCGTGTAAATTTTTTAGTGTAGGGGTAAAAATATTACAGTTGATTTGTAAGTGTAAAAGTTACACTACAATATACACTAGGTAGCATTTAGTGCTTATTAACTTTATTAAACACATTTAAAGAATATAAACATATTCATTGGTACATTCACACTATTTATTATTAAAATAAAACAAAAGGGTAGAAAAGTGTTTATTACCCCTTAATATGTTAAATAGTGACAAAATGTACACTACAGTGCATGCCAATTTCTTTATCTGTTTTGATGTTACTAAGAGCTCTTATTTCTTTACACTACTAGTGCACATTGTATCACAATTATTGTTAAATTACACCAATAGTTGCAAAATATACTGAAAAAAATGGTAATAACCTAAATGCGTTTTAAAATGTTTGGTTGGTACCTATCTACATACGCAGTGCATATCCGTAGATACCGTGTTGTGGAAGTGTGGCATTTTTGTTTAGTTAGATTTTAATTGCGGTGATTCCATTCTTATTTTTTGGTAAGTATTTTTTTTAAGCCTTAATACTCAATAAATACCAATATGTTAAAAGGATGTCCATACCCAACCTATATTAAATATCAATAATTTACGGCAGTAGGTCGGGTACTTGTAACATTAATAATATAAATACATACACACTTGATTTACTTTTTATTTTCAAGCGTAATGGTTGTTATAACAATATATATATTAACCTTTAACTACATTTTTATTAATATTATGGAAAATTTGTAAATACCCGACATACAGCCGCCTGACGCCTCTCTACCAATGGGATCACCCATTTTTTATAACAGAAAAATGGATTACTGATGAATTCTCATTGCTGACTAGTTGACAGCCAGTAAAACATTGCATTGATCTAAAACTTTTACGTTTTAAGGAAGCATTTTGCTTAAGCCAGCCATACGACTCAAATATAAAATTATATTTTAAAAGGCACCGATTTTGATAATTGTCATAGATTTTTGTTCCAAATAAATGTTTCTCTTTATTTACCTTTTCCTTTTTTTTATTACCACCAATAGGTTTTACTCAAAGAACAGTGTTAATTTACACTAGAAGTTAGCATTAAAAGTGTAAAAGTACCTTTCTAAAATTAGAACTTTTCCAAAGTAGTGTTAGTTTACACTGAAAAAAAGTGGGATTTTACCCAGAAGTGTAGAAGTACACGATTTTAGGTATATTAACACTTTTTAATACAGTGTTACTTGGGGAAAATTACACTACAAATTAACTCTAATTGTAGTGTTATAAAACAACACTATTTAGTGTGGACCTGTGTGAACTCTAAGTAATGTTGCTTGGAGTTGATTTTTTTTACTGTGTACTTTGAAATATTCTTTTAAAAGTTTGTCAATATCGCAAATTGAATTCTCTAGTAATAAAGTTTGTGTTAGCGATCGAAAAAGATATAAACTTGCATTCAAAGCATAAATAAAAGTATGGACCGATCCTTTGAACTCTTGAAGAACTTGAAAGATGTTGTGGGTTGGGATGCGGCATTCATAGCGATATTATTAATGGCGAAGCGTTTGACAGGCTTAACACCTGTGCACAAAAACTTTCGCATTATGCAAAGAAGTTCATTCATTTACTAGCTGAAGAAGGTTGTAATATGCACGCTGAGTGCCACAAAGCGCTAACAGTATTTTAAATGGACGCTCGGATATATTGTCGAGTAGTTTCT